TAATATATGCACTGTGTCCCTTCATCTGAACGTTTAGACTGCAAATTGTGACGGAATTTTTGCCGCGATCTTTACACACCCAAAATTGTTTTCCTACAGTTGCAAAATCGATATCGATAATTTTTCACCTTAATTCAAACTTAACGTTGGCTTTAAAAATAGTGACTTACAGATAGTATGCTGAAAACAATAAATTCTAATTGTGACGGTTAATGTACTCCTAATATTGGCATCTCGGCGAAATCAGTGGTACTCTAACTACATCTCGTGCGCCAAGTTTCGGTTTCTCAGAAACCGCGTCGACCAAAATGCATTTAATGCTCATAAAGGTCGTATAGCGCTTGACTCGAATCATGTAATACACTCGTGAAAGAAGGACGTGGTTTTAGGTAGCTTTTGTAGACGAAATATTTGCTTGCCTATAAAGTAAATGCTTTAGAAGTTTAGTCAATGCATGATAACTGTTGAGTTATATCCGTTGGTACAAATGAACTTGCCCTATAGTAAACAATTTAAATACATTTAACTTTAGCACATTCCATTAACACTAAAAAAAGTGACCAATAAAGAAACTAAGAGCAATAAGAAAACTGAGAAAACTAACCAAGCAATATAAAAACTAAGAGAACAAAGCGCATTAATTTTAAACTGAGAGATAAACGCCACATACATGTATTGCCTTGTTGCAATACTCTTCAAGGGGCTTTCCGTGGTAAGCTGTTGGTCACGACCGGAGACCACACCTTCGAAGGAGGTGTGGCCGGGGTCTCGAGTCACTAGGCTAATGCGGGCTCAATGAAGCGGCAGTATCCCAACCGTGCAACGCCAGGAACAATGCCAAGGAAGCACACAGACCATTAAGATCTCAGAGACAAGAGAACCGTGGCCCCCACCCTTTTGTGTTCCCGCAACGAAAGGCCCAGGACCACACCACCTGCAGTCTCTCACGGTTGCACACGCTTCGTCAACTTGAACAAGAACGGATAAGGTGGCGCGGATAAGACGGCGAGAGAGCATGCCATGCACCGACGCTAATTGAGATGGGCGTACAGCGGGTCGGAAAACACAGGCGTGCTCCTTGGCTTTGACATGTCAGAAACAATGATCCTGACATTCGATACGTGTGACCATACTGATAGCTAAGCCCACATGCTTTCGAAGAACCGAGGCGATTTTTCATTCGCTTACAAGGGTTCTTTGTAATAAAGGGTGAGCTGGCTCTCGCGGCCTTTTTGAAACGGTGGTTAAACGCTCAGGTTCGTTACTTGTGCTTGCAATGAAGGCTGCGTCATCCACAATAAAAAAAGTTATAACCTCGCTTGGCGCAAGCACCAAAGACATGCGTTAGGGGATATTATTATCTAGTGCAGCTCGTTTGGTATGAACAGTGCCAGTGATTTCTAGGAGAATGAAACATTTATGAAAGTTCACACAGGTTTTCTATTATTGCCTTCAGTCGTTAAGCAGTATATGAAGCGTTTCAAGCACATATCGCTTAGGAGGAGTTTATTCTGCAGTGTCAAATCCTGAAACAACGCAACGCAAAAATATGTTGGTTCGAAAGGTTCAAAACGCAATAGAGTAGTTCAATCTACGTGAGACGATGCAGTGGAAAGCTTCCGGTAAATATCGTCTCCAGGGGTTTCTGGACGTGCACTCACATAGCGCAGTACACGGTCTTCTAGCATTACACTTCCAGAGATTTGCAACCTCCGCTAATAGGATCATACACACGTCGTTCGTATAAAAAAACAAGCAACGTAATCATTGTATACCACTGCGATGAGCACACAGAAGCTTCAGGGTTCAAGAGATCAATTCGTGGCGATTTCAACTCCTCTTATACTACGCAGGGCGGTGCAGTCTAGTAGTCGTCATTGATCATTCAGCAGTGATATGAACAATATTGCTACGTGCCAGTACTTTCGAGCCTCTGGAACAACATGGAGCCGAGTCCAAGTGTCCTGTATCAGGAGTCTGGCGAGCGGAGCAGTTCTTCCGAGGCCGAGTACCGAGTGGTGCGAACGCAATCTTCTTCGCACGTCATCCAGACGACGCACACTCGGCTTCCTTACGTGGTCGTGTGCACTGTCGGTGTAATCATGGTGCTGGTGGGTGTGGCCTTGTCGACGTACAAACTGCGTCATGGTGCTGGTGGGTGTGGCCTTGTCGACGTACAAACTGCGTCATGGTGCTGGTGGGTGTGGCCTTGTCGACGTACAAACTGCAAAACAGCACCACCACCCTCGAGCTCTTCAAACGCTCCATGTCGCTACTCGTGTACAACTCCACAACACCTCACCACGGCAGCGACGCGAACGCACCGGCGGCCAGGCATTTGCTGAAGCACGAAGTCAAGCTTGGCGGCTCCGACGCGAAGTGCAAGACAGACGCTTGCATATGGATGGAACGTTACCTGCGTGGCAAGCTCAACACCAGTGCGAGCCCCTGCGTGGACTTCTACGCATACGTCTGCTTGTCGGAGTGGTACGCCAAAGGCTTGGACATAAGGGGCAGACCTTATGAAGAGTGCAGCGCCAGCCATAGAGATTAGCTCGCGCCAGTCCATATGCTTTGTCTTCTTCATCTCCATGCACTGGCACGTAGCAATACTTATGGGCCAAATAGTATATTCACTATTTATCTAATAAACTCCACACTTCTTTAGCTCAAAACTTATCGTCCCGCAAACTGCTTTATTTTAAAGGCGCTGTTTGAACGTTGGTCCAAGATGCCCATTTGCTTTTATTCATATTCATAGCGCAAAAAAAACAGACGCAAACAAAAGTAAGGAACACGTGCACAATATGGTTGTCAGACATAAACTCTTTCTTCGCTGAATTACCACATAAAAAAGCCAAAAACCTGTGCACACGAGCGCATGCGCATCATCACATCTCGAGGTGTCAGTGCGCTTTTTGGCTTCTTTCTACTGTATTTTAGTAAAGAAATCAGTCGATGTCTAGCGCACGTCATGTGTATGTCTTCCTTGTGTCTCCGTCTGTTTGCTTTCGTTTTTGTATTGCGTTACGAATATGAATACAAGTGACTCAAATAAACTAGCCGGGATCGCCGATTTGACTTCCAATTTCTTATTTTTATTCCAGGCGAAATTGAGTGATCTTTTCTTTAGGCTGTGCGCAATTCAATTTTTTGTAGTTTGCTCCAAATGCGCTCTGTCATTCAAAATCGCCACCTACATGGTAATTTAGTGCCTGAATTCAAAAGAAAAAAAAAGAACTCTAGACTATATGAGTGTTCAAAACGTGTAAGTTTCTCTGTGAATATGTTTGAAGACCTGTTCATTCTCAACAAAAAAAGAAGGAAGGGGAGGAGGGATGAACTCAATCCATAAATATCGGACAGACGTTGGTTTGAAGTGTAGAAATTGTGTGCTTATAAGAATAAATTATGAGATCAAATACTTAGCTTCCTGTTTTCTGTCCGAGTCAAGCAGTTGCTTTATGTTGGTTGTATTTGGATGACGCTGCATTCTATAAATATGAGGAAAGCTCGGTTATCGTGAACGGTAGCTGTCGTGAGTTTCAGAAGGAATGGAAACATGGACCAAAATGTATAAGTTTTGAGTGATTGAGGCATGCAAAGCGGAAGCTGCTTTAGAGATAGCATAGATGCCTAAGTAATGTAGTCCAACTTCTTTGAGTGAGTTAGTGAGCAAGTGAGTAAGTTAGTGAGTGAGTGAGTGAGTGAGTGAGTGTGTGTGTGTGTGTGTGTGTGTGTGTGTGTGTGTGTGTGTGTGTGTGTGTGTGTGTGTGTGTGTGTGTGTGTGTGTGTGTGTGTGTGTGTGTGTGTGTGTGTGTGTGTGTGTGTGTAGGGGGGAAAGATTTGAGCCCTCCGGTGGCATTCACAATTCTCACAGAGAGAAGTTACGGGGCTAGTATAGACCAAACTGCATAAGTTTTGAGTGATTGAGGCATGCAAAGCGGAAGCTGCTTTAGAGCTAGCATAAACGCCTAAGAAATGTAGTCCAACTTCTTTGAGTGAGTGAGTGAGTGAGTGAGTGAGTGAGTGAGTGAGTGAGTGTGTGTGTGTGTGTGTGTGTGTGTGTGTGTGGGTGAAAGGTTTGAGCCCTCCGGTGGCATTCGCAATTCTCCCAGAGAGAAGTTACGGGGCTAGTATAGACCAAACTGCATAAGTTTTGAGTGATTGAGGCATGCAAAGCGGAAGCTGCTTTAGAGATAGCATAAACGCCTAAGAAATGTAGTCCAACTTCTTTGAGTGAGTGAGTGAGCAAGTGAGTGAGTGAGTGAGTGAGTGAGTGAGAGTGTGAGTGTGTGTGTGTGTGTGTGTGTGTGTTTGTGTGTGTGTGTGTGTGTGTGTGTGTGTGTGTGTGTGTGTGTGTGTGTGTGTGTGTGTGTGTGTGTGTGTGTGTGCGTGCGAGTGTGTGTGTGTGTGCGAGTGTGTGTGAGGGGGGAAGGTTTGAGCCCTCCGGTGGCATTCACAATTCTCACAGAGAGAAGTTACGGGGCTAGTATAGACCAAACTGCATAAGTTTTGAGTAATTGAGGCATGCAAAGCGGAAGCTGCTTTAGAGATAGCATAAACGCCTAAGAAATGTAGTCCAACTTCTTTGAGTGAGTGAGTGAGTGAGTGAGTGAGTGAGTGAGTGAGTGAGTGAGTGAGTGAGTGTGTGTGGGTGAAAGGTTTGAGCCCTCCGGTGGCATTCGCAATTCTCCCAGAGAGAAGTTACGGGGCTAGTATGGAGTGTAAAAGCTCTAAAACATCCGTGATACTCTGTGCTTCAGCAACCGAACTTAGCAGGCACAGGTGCTCACATCCTCTGTGACCTTGCCATACGCCAGAGAGCCTGGGCATCGTATAGAAAGTGCCTTTCACCATAATGATCAAATCTTCTCTTGTACTGGTCAACCAAACACATCCGCGATGCCATCCATGCGGGTAAATTCCAGAGAGGTCGGGAACTGGGGCACGTACTAGGGATTAGGGTTCGGGATGAGTAGTTGTGGCGACCGACGCACCTTGCAACCTTTCTGCAACAGAGATTCAACGATGCCTCTTCCAAGGCCCATAGCGCCTCCCGTCACGATGGCCACCTTGCCCTTGAAGTCCTTCATCGTGTAAAGTAGATGTCCGGTCCCACTTGTCTATAGTAAAGGGAGCGAGGGCCGGGGCGCGAGTACGTAACGGCTGTAGTCGTTCGGACACCGGTCCGAGGTACCGACGACTTCGCTCCACTCCTGGTGCAAGACTAGATGCCGGGAGACGGCTACCTAGTCGGGCTCGTCGCCCGGCGACGGTCGTGGTGTTATTTCAAGCATCGCCCCCGCCAGGGCCCTGGCCTATCGCGGCTTAATGTCGAGCGGCCCGGACTGACGGTCATACTTACGCCGTTCTTGTGTTTCCTTGTTTTTTCTGGCTTCTCCTCTCCCCCTTTCCTTTCCACTCTCAAGGAGCCTAAGAAATGAAGATGAGTGCTGCAGCATCCCCCACCCTCACTGCTTTCTCTTCCCCTCTCACTAGCGAGTTCTCACGATGTCATTTATTAGCTTTCTTTTTTCTGCTGTGATGCCAGTCGCCACGCCGGGCTGTGATGTATTTTAGTTTGCCAGCCGGAGAGGGCTAATCTTATCTGGAGGCCGGGCACTGCCGCGGAAAGCGGGGTGGTCTGGCTCCCGCTGCACGGATCTGGGAGCTTCGTTTGAGGAATCTCGCATCGCATTGTGATTCCTTAAAACTGGGCTAATTGCTTTCGCTATGAGATCGTAGTTTTACGCTCTTACGTTCAAGAGCACAAAGAACTGTTTTCAAGAGACAGAGGAAATATCACCATTGTGATTCTGACTTTTTCGCCTTGTACAGCGACCGATTTGTACACTCTTCTTTCTTATCATTGCACATGATTGCAAGAATTCGTTGGCGAATACCTTATTCAACTGCCTTAACTCATTTTTTTTCGTTTACTTGAAACGTTCGGCGAGATTTATACACAGCGCTTATTAGCTGGTGCTTTCGAAATTCTCCATGCCATGTTCTTTGTTCACAACAGTCAATAATTTTCCTGGATTCATTTACTTCCCAATGAACTTGACTTCATTTCAATTCTAAGTTTCATAAGCGGTGTCTTTAAAAGGACCATTTATTCTACTTGCCATACCTATTTCGTTAGAAACGTTTGTAATTTCCTGGTTTTCACTTCAAGTTCATCCAAAATGTATGCCTCATCGAGTTACTTCCGCTTTGTCGAGTGCAGTTTTATAAAAAATTGTGGATACCAAAATTACCATCGTATAACTATAGCTAAAATCTTTGATACACGTAGGTTTTTGTCCGTAAATTCTCGTAAAAATTGTGTATAACAAAAAAAGAAACCTTATACTTACACTTTTTGCCCTCATATCAACTGTGAATGTTCCTGCTTGCAATGCCAATCTGTTTTCTTACCCATAAAAAATTGGTAATGCTTCTCAGTGCACACTGATATTTATCTGTATTTCTCCACTCTGTGTACGACAGTGAAATTCAGCAATTATTAGCACATAATGTGCTTCTTAGTTAACAATATGATTTTATTCGAAGGATACGCGTCGTACAGAAAGAAAGAAAATGTTAGAAACCGCGTTACGTTAGTTGCCATTAAATTATCAAATGTTATTGTGAGGTTCCAAGTGCCAAAAAACTACGTTACGTTGTGAAGTTACAGATGACAAAAACGAGGATATTCTTGACAATAACTTCGTAGTAGAGAAAAGTTTTGACTCCCATTAACATCCGCTTAAGACACACTACATGGGCTCTCTTTCATTCCGGCCTCTCCGAAATGCGGTCACCATCGGGGTGCTTGTTGGTGATTACTCTGCGTCAAATGGTCTATATTATGACCCCGACTACCAATGAAAAATTGTAGGTTGGCTCTGTAGTTACTTTGTGGTGACACTGCACAATAAAAATGAAGCATATAGTTGTCAGATAGCCCGTATAGCTGCATATTGCCTGTACTTAACGGTACTTACCTATATGCAGCAGAAACCTGGAGGCTTACAAAGAGGGTTCAGCTCAAATGAAGGGCGACGCAGAGAGCGATGGAAAAGAAAATGAAATGATAGGAGTAACCTGAAGAGACAAGAAGAGAGCAGAGGAGGTCAGAGAACAAACCCGGAGTGAAGAATACTTCACCGAGGTTAGGTTCAAATCAAGAAAAAAAAATGAACAGGGGCCGGGAACGTAGCGCGTATGCAGGATAACCGCTGGTCATTAAGGGTGACTGACTGGATTCCCAGAGAAGGCAAACGCATCAGGTGGAGACAGAAAGTTTGGTGGGCCGATGAGGTAAAAAAGTTCGCAGATATAAAACGCGTGAAAGCAGAAAGCACAAGACCGAGTTGTTTTGCAGACCATGGGAGAGGCCTTTAAGCTGTCGGGGGCGTAGTCAGGCTGCTGCTGCTGCTGCTGCTGATGATGATGATGTTGTTGATGATGATGATGATGATGATGAGGAGGAGGAGGAGGAGGAGGAGGAGGAGGAGGATGACGATGATGGTGACGTATAGTTGCTGTTGCTATTTTGCTTGAAGTTAAATTAGCATATATTAGCCCATAGTTAATACAATACCATGAACTTGTTGCAAGCTTTGTTGTATTTTTTGTCGTATTGGTTCGGTGCAAGCGCACTAAACTGATAACATCTTATTTATTTGCAAGTTACATTTAGCCGGAAGATCAAGAGCAAAAAAAATCTCCTCCTTATTCAATCTTTTTGTTCATTCTCAACCATATTAAGCCGTATATGCGTCATCAAACACAAAAATTGACCACCGCCGCCCCCACCGACATCCCGCATCGGCTACGTTAACGCGACTGATTTTCAACATAAGATCACTCTATCACATGACCTAACCGTGACGTCACATGATAACACGTTCACCTATTTAAAACTGAGTTGATTGTGGAGGCAGTGCAAAACCAGGTAAGGCACGAAACACTTGCGGGGCCTCCGATCCTGACCAGGGGTCTGAAACACGGGACCTGGAAACCTCGCACCACCATCCCACGGACCGCACGAGAGTCCTTTCATTTCATACGTTTTATTTTTAATTTTTAAAGAACTATGCTTATGAGTGGGTGTGACTCGTCTTTAGAATTTTCTTAAAGAGGCACCCCCTGCAGCCACCATGTGTTGATGCATTAGCCATGAAAGAAAGCTTCTTATTTGCTTTATTCATTTGATTCAGATATTTTTCATTTCTGAGATCGATAAAATTTATATGTTGTGAGAACCTTGGCGTCAAATCCCCTACAGAAGCCAACCATATATCGTGTCGGAGAACGCCCTTTGAAATGGCAAAGTTACCTAGAGTGTTGTACAAGTGAACTCCTCCCGCCCACACACTCCTCTCTCCGCGGCTGTCCTGGTCTTTGCAGGAGCACATTTTTGAGACTGCGACCTACTAGGTGAGGCAAGGTTGTTTCCCTGCTGTAGGCAGTGCGAAACCTACTTGCGTGCAGAAAGCTATCGAATGGGAGGGCGGGGAGATCTGTGCATATACTGGAGGAAAAGAAGATGGCTTTGCCATGCGAGTCATCTCAGGCGAGTGCAGAAAGAACTGTTTTGTGCTTTCATTTTCGTTTTATACTAAAAGCACATACTTACAACATAATTTCCGTTGGATTCGACTACAAAGTTGACCTTAAATAACATGGCAACTATTGGTTCCTGATCAGTTGGGAAAGTCATGTTCGGAATGTATTGAATATTTTTAATATATATATATATATATATATATATATATATATATATATATATATATATATATATATATATATATATATATATATATATACATATATATATATATATATATATATATATGGTAGAGCACAAGTATTTTTTACTAATGAAATATGTGAAGTATGTACTAAATATGTCACCAACGTGTCTATGTGTATGTTACTGATGTGTATATGCATATTCTATGTCACTGATGCAGACCATATTAGAAGATCACGACCACGTCAGGCTACTTAGCCCTCAGTCTTTGTCTCCGACTGGGAAAGTCTGTATTATTTTCCTGCAAAGAAACAATGTTCAATATACAATGTACAACTGATCTACTATCACTGTAAATCCTGCTACTATACTTGTACTGGGTACTTCTCAAGACAAAATCAGTTCATATCTCTCATTGGAGTGTGCGTCTCACCGTTCTTCCTTCCAAGTACGAACCACCCTGTAACCAACGAAATCGATCTGGCAATTATTTCAAGGAATGTATAGATGGTGGTATTGTCTAAATTATAGTGTGGTAATTATGATATGCACCTAAATTGTCCTAAGTGGCATCCAAACTGACGTGTCACGTACTGACCTCTTACGAAGTGAGTGTTTTAATCTCGCCATTTCATCTACGAGTGGCACTGACTTACACTTCCTGGAATAACAACTACATAAATATCTAACGAAGTTGACGGAAGCGCGCTTTTCGTCGTAGTTCAATGAATAGAGCTTGAAGGTTGTTGGACTGAGTTCCCGCTGCGGCGGATGCATTTTCAATAGAGGCAAAATGTTTGAGGCCCGAGTACCTAAATTTAGATGCATGTTAAAGAACCTCAGATGGTCGAAATTTCTGAAACCTTCCACTAGGGCGTTTCTCATAATCATATCGTGGTTATGGCACGCTAAACCGCTGATTATACATTATTGTTCAATTCAATTATTGTACCAACTGCTACACTACTCATAAACGACTCTTGGTGTCCTCCCTGCTTTTTTAGCCTAATTTTTTGTTGGATTCGAATGGTTGTGTAAAAAAAAAAAACAAGCCCCCCCTCCCCCCTTCACGAAAAAAAAAACACTCCATTTCTGTGAGAAGAACTTACCTGCTCGGCACCAATAGCAATAGCGAGAAGGGGGATTCCAATTTTTGTGTCACGTACCTGCCTTCCTTCGTAATGTCTCTGCAATGCCTGCTACAAAATAACAGCAAGTAAACATAAGGGAAACATAACAGCATGTCACACTGCTGTGGTGAAGGCTGCCAAGTAGGCGCTTCACGGCGTGTTGGCTTCGCTGCCAACAGCTGGATTCCGGCTGCTGGCTCTCAAAATTTGAAGGCGTGGATGTCCAGAAGCGTGCGCTTAGTTTGGGCCA